CCCAATCTCGGGCGGGTGTCAGCAGAACTTATTTATTGGGCCCGAAATGCCTACACTCCGGCTTTCTACGGCTTTTCATCTACTCTTGTGGAAGTTATCGTCAATTCATGCACAGCAGTTTGCGAAAACGCAGGCATCAATGTTGATGACTTTGTTCACACTGCGCCTGACAGGGCTCTGTCTAAGAAACGCAGGACCCGTCGGCGCAGGGGAGAATCACAGTCGTCTCAAAGCGACGCCGATCAAGATCTAGTTGATTATCCTGCGCAAAGACCCCTTCTGCGTCGGGGACGATCGGCCAGCAACGACACCGGGTATGGCAGCCTCTCTATTGAGGAAGATGAAAAGCCAGTCCCCCATACCCCTCCCAATGTGCAGGAGGTACCTGGCTGAGATCCCCAATGACCACAGCACACTGTGTCACTTATGCAAACCCAATAATGACGGCGTTTTCGGCTTTTGTATTTCTAATTTGGTCATGGTCAATGGTTCTTTTTGATCATCAGGAAAAGAGGGGGAAATGGAATGGTATCAACAATAGCGTATTTGTATAAGCTCTAACGTCAAATAGAATGGCATCCTCATAACTTTTACACTAAACTCGCGTCGTTCAAAACTGCATTTGTAGTGTATGAATTTAGACAGCATAGATGATCTTTGCCTATGCTATCCATACAACATACACCCAGGGCTACTAACACAGCAATTCTGCGTTCAGCCTGTTCTAGAGCTGAGAGTTTTTCTGGGCAATTAATTTTTGGTACATTCCATTTGTTCTGATCTAGATGAAACTTTTCTCTCCCTTCTATACATAATCTATCTTTGATTCTTTTTTTTTTCCAACACAAGAATCAAATTTGACAGTGGGATGGCTCTACAAAAACAGTATGTTTGCAGCCGTCTTCTCTTGACATAGGTGGTCTGTGCCTTGGATTCCGCTTCAAGTTGTTTCCGGTGGTCCTTCATGAGATCCATCTTGTCTGAGTATGTATTTTTACATATCTACCGGATAATACCTGGCACTTGAGACCTTTCCCTTTCCGCTTTAGTGCTCACCTCTTGCCGCTTTTTGATCTCAGAGTAAAATTGAGCACGCCTCTGAACACTCTGAGCTGCGCACAGATCATTATATAAGCGATCTGATTTGCTTACAGAGTACGATCAGAGTGCCCAGAGGATTGGACGAACTGAGTAAGCTAGATTGACAGAGATCTGCCTATACGACAATGTATGGGTAACCTCAGGGTATATAATTCTCTAACTGACTCAAATGACAAAACCGCATTATCTGACAATCTGCCCAGGTGTGCGGAGATGATGACTAACTGTAATATGCACCCGTGGACTTTTGTATAGGATGATTTACTGCCGATGTCTACCGACATTCGGGTATTCCAACCCTATATCAACTAGGTATTGCAACCATAGTATTTGACAGCCATCAATCATTGTTGTGTGTATTTGTACTCCAGCGACATCAAAACCATGCCCCTCTATGATTTCTACTGCCTTCTATATTTTCCTGCTGCATTTTAGACGAAAATATTGGGCCGCAAAGCTTTATTAGAGTGACAGCAAAGCAAGTTGAGAAAGTGATGCAAGTAGCACAGTCACAGTTTGTAACACTTCATCAAACACTTGCTAATTCTATTAAAATCTTCATCGAAATCCTCATGATGCCAGCGAGCCAAACCGTGAGGCCACTAGAATCAGCACGATTTAGTAGTCTTCCACATTCCGTCGTTTCTTGGCATCGAAGAAATACAATGGCACGGCAGAAATAAGGACCAGGACATTCAGCATGAACATGATCATGTAAACCTGAACATAACCGCTTTGGTTGGCCCATTCGACCGCCACATATAGGAAGATGAATGCGATCAGATTTTTGAATACGTTGATCAAGACAAGAGATTTGGCCGCGTCTCTTGGATTGCGGTGAACAATATATGTGATGGCAATGTTAGGCGTGTAGACCGACCCGAAAGAGACTAGCCCAAAGCCAACGGCGATAGCGCTCCAGTGTAGCTGGTTGCCACAAGCAAAAGCAAGTAGAATGCATCCAGCAGGGCCAAAGGCCATGCCGGGAATGAGAGAGATCAGGCGCTGCTCGGGCCAGATGTTTTGGGTGGAGGAGTGGCGAACGATGTACCCAGTGATTATATCGGACAGACTGCCACCACCATAGCAAGCAACCACAAAACCAATTATCGCTGCAACCTGCATCAAGCCCACAGATTCTGTCGAGAAGAGGTAGGGAGGAGCTAGGAGGAGATTGGACATGGTAAAGCTATGCACAGATAAGAAAGGTCAGAATGGGATTATTGTCTCATAAGTATTTCTGGGCCATCTCACATCAGGATTACCTGAGGGCTCAGTATAATGGCATAAGTGAAGACCCCCCACAATACAGACGGGCGGATCAGGAGCTTGAGCGGGTCTATCATGGCATTCAGGAGATTAACATCGCAGTCGTACGAGACTGGTGGCAAGATCTCCCATGCGGAGGGAGTGTAGATGGTGTAATTATCTGATGTTGAGCTCAGAGATTTTGTGTCCTCACAAAAGTCCTCCTCAGGCTGGCCTTCCTTAAACATTGTCTGGTTCTGCAACGTCTCCAGCTGATTGGTGGTCAAGTCGCGCTCGTGGCGGGCGAAGTTGGATTCAGGAAACAAAAATAAGATCAATATCAGATTGAATATCGCCAGGCCACAGCAGAGCCATAGAAAGGAGCGCCACGTGTCGGCAGTCAATGTGGTCATGAAGCCGGCAATGAGTGGACCGACTGCACTTCCCCCAGAGATGAGCACAACATAACTAAATGGCGGTCATGATTTTGTTAAGAGTCTTAGTTATCGTATGGAACTGATTAAGCACTCACATGGACATCATGGCTCCACGCTGGTGAACAAAGGTAGTGTCGGCCACGATTTCGGGAACTATGCTCTGGAGAAGACGAGGACATCAGTTAGTTCTGCGTAGAATGACTGGCTTTGGTTATATTCACCTCACCGGCTGCGGCAGCAAACCCCAGCAAGCATCTGGCAGCGATTAGGCCATCGAATGATGTTGTCGCTGCGCTCCAGGCCAACATCCCTGCCTGCATTGCCATTGACGAAAGGAGGGAGGCGCGTTTGCCAAATTTCATAGCAATTGGTACCCAAAAGATGTTTCCAATGCCGAGAAAGAGGAAGTGAAACTATAGATATTGGTGTTCACCCATCAGGCCTCTGGTTTCTTTCCTTAGTGTCAAAAGAAGTGGGGAACATACAGTCAGAACTTGGGTTGCCTCAGACTGGGACTTGTGAAACTCCTCCATGAGGAGGGGGATGGCAACAGAGATGCCAGACCCTCCCATGTTGGAGACAAAGTTGTGCAGAGATGTGACCACGATGGCTGCGACCTTGAGGCCAAACGGCCAGCGTAAGGGATCTTTCGGATCATTGGTTGGGGTTGGAATAAGCTGGATATGATGATGCGTCATGTTTTCAGGAATTATAGTAGGGAATAGACTGGCAAATTAAACTGTGTATGATGAGGAGGCAGATTCAAGAAATATATGGGGAAAGATATGGGGAAAGAGATGGGGAAAGAGATGGAGAAAGAGATGGAGAAAGAGATGGGGAAAGAGATGGGAAAAGAACCTTCAGGGAAGGATCTGGGGAAGGATCCGTGGAAGGTCCGGGCAACAGCCGGCACCAGTTCCCCCTCTGGGGAGGGGACAAATGCAGGAATGAGAATACTTAATTGGTGTTCTCACGACTCAGGCATTTAATATAGACATTTAGAACTCATTTCGAGGGCAAGCACGCAGGTTAATTCGTGGTCTAGCCCGAATGCTTATCGTTTCCTGCACGCGGACCTGGCCCAGGCGATTAAATGAAGTCTTCGCTCCCCGAACTGTTGTTCGACTCCGTTCCTGACAATGCTGTCAGTCAATTGCTCTGTCAGAAAGCCATTACCGCCATGATCACATCCACCTCTCGGCTAGAGAATGTGTTTACCCCCCATGTCGATATTGGCTCTTCCCTTACCCCATTGGTAGAGTTTGCATGAATATCTGTCGTAATATGAGGATGATCTGCAGTTTGTTTCCTCCCCGACGGAATAGCGGGGATGCGGCCTTGTATACCCCCGGTATCCCCGGGGATATGGGGGTGGGCGTCTTCGGCTTTCGTTATTCGTGCCGACCTCTAATTGTCGACCAGAACTCAGATAAGTAAGCACATACTGACCGCTTAGTAGGCAGTGGTCCAAGGCTCAGTAGGCTGCTACCTACAGAGTATTCTAAAGCCGAGAGTCATCCTGAGGCACCCAGGCCCCAACAATATAGACCCGTCCCCGCATATTGGGAAACCTGCGGACCTCTGATTGAGTATGGCCTCCGAGACAATCAATTATACTGGGGGAAACACCTCCCTATAGTAGAGTTGGGTTTTCAACCGGTTGGAGCGGTTACATTATCTAATATGCGAGCATATCACATATGGTGGCCCGGGGAACATTCTCCCCGCAAACTCAAATATGGCTGTCCACTCTTGTCCCACATCGGCATTGACCCCCGGTATATACTTCCATGTCAGAACTATGTACAACCTTTTTCAGGGGTAAAGAGAGGAAAGAAAAGAAGAATCGAGTAATCATTGTGTGCGTGGCCCTTTGCTTAAGCGGATTTGACTACATTACCCGACTGCGTTACTATTGTTACCAAAGGTCTAGCTATACCTGATGCAATATAGATAAATTTAAATCTCAAAGGCTTGCAATATGGTTACATGTAGATAAACAGGCTATGTCCTTCCCCTTTCCTATCCCTGAAAACCCAAGACATTTCCAGTGACCTGAGCTAGCCAAAAGACAGTCCAAGAAGAATTTAGCTGACAGTTTACTTGTATCGAATCCACATTTCTTCCACTAACCAAATACAGGGTTCAAAACTCCATAGTTTCCCCTCAACGAGGAACTGATCATTTCCTGCTGCGTTTTAACCCCACAGACAATCAACTCCTTGCACTCGGCTTCAACAGCGAAATCCCTTCATTCCAAATGCCCGACTTTCCGGGAGAAAGCACCCCATTGGGGTCCAGCACATCCTTTAATCGTCCCGTAAACTTATTGAACGCAAAGTCGTTGAAGTCCAGTTTGGCTGCAATCTGGTCCATGTAGCGCACATGCGTGCGGTACTCCATATATCCCTGCTCCGCACCATCATGCAGCAAGTTCCTGCACAATTCTAGGACGCGTGCCTCCTCTCTGAGCGTGTAGATGATCAGCTCGATGCCAATCACGTAGCGCGGGTAGACATGGAAGTCGGCGAAGAAGTCGAACGTTGCGTCAATGGTGCGTTGCTTCGCTGTCAGGTACCACTCGTACAACTCACGTCCGGATGGAGGGATGATGGGCGAGAAGTCGACGTGTGCACCGCCCCTCTCGGATCGGCTGTCGACGATGCCCAGCGGGGCGAGCGTTGGGATACCACTGTGCGGAATCTCTTCTTCTTTAATCTCTGCTGCGGTGATAGAGCGGCCTAGGGATCCGGGGAATTCGCGCCATTCAATCTTCACACCTGAGATTACGGAGAACGCGCGTTGTACTGTTTGAATTAACGCTGGGAGCATTTCGACCGAGCCGTATAGCGAGAAGTAGGCTTTCCAGAATCCCCAGTTATGTTCCGCGCGGATTTCCTCGAGTACGTCATAAGGTACGTATGAGTTGGGCTTCATGTACTGAGCCAGTTTGGCGTGAACCTCGGGCACTTTGGATGTAAGTGCGATGCGGAATATGTTCGCGATGGAGGGTGAGTTGAGAATGATGGAGCGGCGCATCAGGTCTGACAAAGTCCCGATGAGAGGGACAAGGTCTGCTTCCTTGGGAACGCTGACTTCGAGAGTGGCGTACGCCTCGGGGGCGGGAGTGATATGCATGCCAATCTTGGTGACGACACCTGTTTTTGTTAGTGATTGAGTTGAGGAGATGGGAGAGAAAGTTAGACCTTACCGAGGTTGGATTGGTAGAACAGACCGTCAAGGGTTGGGCCAAAGCCTCTGTTGGATGGTAAGTCAATATATCATTGGAGGGAGAGCACAGGCGAGCCAGTAAACTGTGAGCATACCCCTTGTATAGCGCGAATGTTTTGTTATCCTTCATCGCTCCCATGCCCGTCCGAAGCAATTCACCATTTGGCAGCACAACTTCCATGCCGCACTGTGACTGCGAATGCTCTCCATTGGGCGTATATCCAAAGCCTCGGTCCATGGTATTTCCCAAAACAGAACCCCATCCAATGGCCGGCACCGATGGCCAGAGGTTCAGGCCCCGCCGTTGGATTTCCTCGTAAAGGTCGAAGAAGGACACACCCGGCTCGACTATCGCGTATCCATACTCTTCGTTTACCTCGACGATCTTGTTCATTCGGTGCAGATCTAGGATAACGCATCCTTTGACGACAGAGCTGGATCCACCATATCTGTGACCGTTAGTGATATGCAGCTGGCATCATCGACGACAAACCCCAGGTTCTTCCCCCGCGACACTGTCCACAAAGACACCTTGTGCTTATTTGCAAGCTTCATGGCCTCCTGGACCTCTTCTACCGTACTGGGTCGAACGGCACCGCTTGGTTCGTGAGTTCCTGCGGTTGAAAATGGATCGCCGTAAGTCTTCCGGCCTTGAGCACCCTCGAGTGCGCCATGACTAGGGGTGCGGGAAATGTTGTCTTCTCCGAGCACACGGGCGATATCGTCAAAGAAATTGCCCAATGCCTGGGGGTTGACGGTTGGAGACCTATGGGTGGCCATCGTGTCGCTGTTACAAGTTGAGGATTATGATATGTCTACAGGGAGCTACGGAAATACTTAGTATATGTACATCCCTTATTTTTTGGGATCATGATCAACAACAGCTCCTACTATTTGCAGGGATGGTTTCCAGCAGCCGGGGATACCGGGGAACTAGCCGTGCCAAGACCACCAACCCGGGTTATACATACATGCATGTCGCTTCGCACGTTGTCGTCTTCCGTCGGAAAGAAAAGAAAAGGATGCTGTAAAGAGATAAGGAGTCACAAAAGAATAGCCCACTTCAAGAAAAATAAAATGGAAAGAAATGACAACAATAACGACAAACAGACCTCGAAACCAAAAAGGATGCTCGCGGGCTTTAGCTAATTATTTAAGTAGACTAACGCCAAAGAGTATGGAATATTAGAGGCTATTCTTTCTTTCAAAGGACCAAATGTCCAACTTAAGACACACTTTGTCCAACCTCATTAGACATTATCATTGATGCCCTAGGGTTCCGTCCACCACTCAGGAGTTGATACTGTTTCTTCATATAATCATATATATATCACTAGTTTGCCACCTGACTGCTATCTCATCAGAAGTTAGAAGTTGAATAGTATCCTGTTATCTCATGGAATATTGTGACATCCTGTTCCTCTGCGCCCCACTGACAAATGTTAGGCTATTTGCAATACAACAGCAATTGTCTTTTGCACCCCGGTATCTAGGGAACTTCCATGGTTGGCTGGCCCAAGATAATTTGAACTCGAAATTAATTGCGAATGCACATTTTCCTTGCCATTTGCCATTGTTGTTACCTCAAGGAAGTGGGTTATAAGGTCTGAATCGTATGAGAGTAAAAGTTGCTAAAATTGAAATCACATGAAATTGAATAGAGAAATACACGCATCGTCAATCTGGTTTCAAATCAAACAATCAGCGGATGGTGTTCGGTCTTATGACCATAATCTGTGTTAAATCGTGTAAACATAGATCACGTTCCTCGTCATTGTTCCATCTGCCCTAAGCCCAAACCTACAGATCCTCGCCCTCCACCCAATTGCCATGCAGTCCTTGCCTCAACCGTAGTGGCAGCAGAATGACAGCCTTTGCCTTAGTGAACTCCCACGTATCCAGCAAGTGCAACTCGCTGCACATAGAAATATAGTTATTTACTAGAGCTATGATATATCTATCTCCCTTAACGGTAGACCCTCGTTGCGGAATGGAATTTGGTTCTTATACTATATATATCTTTCTAGGGAGGAAGGTCTCTGTTACTCTAGTTTTAATATTTAAGTACGCTGGAGCGTTATACAGCGGGTATCTACTACCTAGCTAAGGTATAATAGTCGGAAAATCCGTTCCGAGGGTAGGGTTTATTAGATTAAAGAAGCAGTGCTTATACGGTTAGGTGGCGAAGCGGTCGTTAATATAGTAGAATTCCGAGTTATCGCTTCAGGGAAACTTTAAAGTTCACTACGTCGAGCTCCTCGGATTTAGGGTCGATAGTAAACCGGGTTAGCTAGGAGTAGATAGAACTCGGTTTAGGAGAGTTTCCTTATGTATCCGGCTACTAGAAAAAGACTTCTTCTCGCTTAGTCCGAGGTTAATGTAACGAATAAAGACCTTTATAACATGAAAACAGAATTGTCGCTTAACCTTATCGGCTGGGCCACGAGAGTAGAGTACTACTAATTTGTTACTGACCCTGGCCCTATATAATCAAAGAGGGGTATAGTGATAGATAATATAGGACTCCCCTGGATCCTGTTTCTCCCTGATAAGAGTTAGTCTTGTCACGTTGAAGATAATACAATCTGTTCCTCTCTCCCACTATCGTATCTTACCCGGTTGACAGGCCGTACACCTGAAAACAGTATACCTTTACAATAAACTAGAACAGTTATAAAAAACAGTCATTTATTTGAATGACTTAGTATTGTTATAAACGCTAAGGCCTATATTTTATGCAAAAATGGGTTCAAATAGGTTATTATTAGGTCATTGGGTTTGGGGTTGGGTTGGGTTTTGGGTCGCAGGTTCCGACTCAAAATGGGTTCTGCTGAAGTCTACTAAGGAGTTAGATAGTTAATAATTCGGCACTATAGTTAGTTATCCATTACCTATTATCGATACTATAAGTTAGGTACTCCCCTAAAGAGATCGTAAGCGGCGTAGGGATAAAGATCAATACGAGTATACTAGATAGTTTAATCATAGGATACTATAATTATACTACTTTTTAATAGGAATTAATCTATAATCATTTAATACTACCTCCTACTGTAAGCTAAATATCTATTAATATAAGGCATTTCTACATATCTTATATAGGTCACGTTTTTCTACGTATTTGTAGTATTTACAGTCCCATAGGAGTGGACTGGCACCTCACTCCCATCTCTTGGCACCCCCATGGGACCAAATGATGGTAGTTGGCAAGGTTCATTTATATTTGGGACTTTGAGCTCGAGCCGCTCTGAATTGGAAGACAGAAGGAAGACATCATGGAACGGATGGAGTTCTCCGCTCTTTCCTGCGCCCCTTTGTCATAATGTATTTTTTTTGATGAGGTGTAGTGCTCCGGAAAATGAGGGCAGCAGCAATGCTATCAACGAACTAACTATCATAGTATAAACGACCCTGTGGGGGCTAATCCCTTCTGGGTATAGTCTGAGGTGGGCTGAGTACATCAGTGTTGCTCACTGAGCATCAGTCATCCTGCACGTGACTGATCTGAGCCCGTGCTGACATCTTCTCAGTGAGCCAGAGCCTGAGTACTCTCATAAAAGCGGCGGCTGCTCAAATAGGAAAGCCCCACCCACCAGGGAATATCCGGTACGTATAGGTGCATATGGAAGTTGTAGGTGGTATTTTAGTATGGATCAATCTAGGCCCTAAGAACCTCGATGTAACAGAACCTTCTAAAGGAAGCACTCAAAAAAAAACTTTGGAAAGAATATTGATTACCTAACTTCTCCTTTCGCCGTTCGTCGCTGTCGGCCTCTGCTCATTTTATTGGTAGATACATATAAAATTGTCTAGGTCAGATTAAATGGAGATCAAGCTCAAGTTTTGGGAATTCCAATATCATTGGTCCATGTGCAGGCTGCATGCGAAGAAACTGTTAACTAGTTATTTGTAAGATGTAAATATTAAGGTATCAAGGCACCACTTTTCTTTTGCCAGGAATCTAAGGCTATCAATTCCATTCAACTCTCACTAGCAATCCATGGATCTCCTGACCTGTAGTCACAATACCATATACAACAAGTATTCGAGCTTTGACTCATCTGAAATATTATATTCCCTTATCTTACATACCATCACATACTTGGTTTTCCTAAGGCGATGACTCGGCTTGCCTCATCATTTTACTCTCCATCTGGTTCGAGGCATCAGCCCCGCCACCACCCTCACCCCGTTTCGGGCAGTTTGTGAAGCGGGATGGTCAACGGTGCTCTCGAGAGCCTCGGCTCAACCGAGCTCACTGAACTGGCAGGAATTCCGAGAGAAGTCGTTTAGTAATTGTGTCCATCTGGTATCATTCTATACACACGGACCCTTACCTAGACTAGAATTTCTCAAGCCAATTCAGAAGTTTGTGCGGCTCCGCATCTTACTATCGTGTACTATGGCGTCATATACACAAGGTTCCAAGATTACTACGCTGGAGTTTCCACCTCGAACTTGACCATTGTCTCTAACGTTACAGTTGCATCCCATTGAGCCGGCTGTTCGAGGCTCGAGTCCACGTTAAGCGTCTTGTTATCGAGAGTTCTGAAAAGAAAATTGATCTGCAAGTATCAAGCAGAGTTGACCTAATTCAGGAACCAAATTGGTTATTTTTTTTTATTTTCCCACACCTTTGTTCTTATCCCATGACCGATTGGGGGACGAAGAATGCTGGAAGTGACAGCAGGTATCAACATTCCGTTTTCGGGTTGCCGAACAACGGCCCCGTCTATACAGCCACCCCTCGTCCTATCCAGAGCCTCTACGCCTGCAATGATGATCCAGCCCGCCACATCATCCCGAGGTCCACATGCCCTTCGATTTGGTCATGACAGGGCAGTTCCCAGAGATTTGGAATGCTTCACTGCTCACCCGAGCGCATCATCTCCACTTAGAATAAACTTCGCACCCATGCCAAGGTTCATTTCGGCCGATTCTACGTTACACTGGCCATGTGAGACCCAATTGTCTACGCTTGCCGTGTAAACGTGAGGGTGGGTTCGTTCATCTCTGCAAAAGAATAAACTTGCGGGACCTGCACCGGTCAATGACGGCATGTCTCCATCCATGGATGGCTGATCTGCAAATTAATACAACGCCAATGATGCCCACGTCTTACTTTCCTTTCCACGCGATCCTAGTCCTATTTAAAGCATATCCTGTCCAAACCTTGTGTTCTCGCCCTTTCTCGGTCTTGAGCTCTTCGAGGGTTGGATAATATATGCTCATTGTGGTTGACGGTCTTCCTACCTGAGTGGATCTGCAGCTCGAGCTCCCCTTGCCTATTGAATGGCACGATGGGTGTCGAACTCGAAGGAAATGGCCCGGGGGAGCCGCCTATGAACCCCACGATTGCGGTCCCTCTGTTCGTTGTCGGTGGACTGGTAATATTCTTATTTGTCTGGAAAACTGTCATTCGCATCCGACATCGTCAACGATCAAAGGCAGCACAGCAAGGAACCGACCAGACGGAGCTGTGTCGGACAAATCGCTTCAATGCGGCCCTCAAAAAACATTTGCTATATGCCCCTATATGGGGCAATCGCCATAGCCGCGAGTTCCGCATCATACGGCTGCATATGGGGTCTCTTCCTCTACGACTGGAAGTGATTTGCCTATTGATTTACCTCAGCTTAAACATAATTTTCATCGTCGTGAAGGTGGATTGGTGGATTAGCGATTACTCCGAGAAGATGTACCAGCTCAAATACGCCGCGGGCCATCTGGCGGTCATGAATACGCCAGGCTTGGTCCTGGGCGCAGGACGGAACAATCCG